TGAAGAAGTGAATTGTTTGGTAGAAAGGCATATGGACAAGGGGGGAATCTAGAAGCAGATCTGGGCAAACCCAACCTCGGGGTCTTTTCGGGAAGTGATCTTGCTTATTTAAAGATTGAAGCAATGAATCTGTTCTACAGCTTGCAGAAAAGAGAAGAAACACTCTTTTTTTTTTTCTGTAGAGTGGAAAGGTGGAAGCCAAACCTGCTCTCAGGCCAATAGCTGAGTCTGGAAACAGAATAGAAGCTTTGGAGCCCTTTTTGAGAATATTGATATGCATGGAGGGGATGCTAATAGGAAATATTTCAGTGCTTTGATGAGAGAGCTGAACTTGATTTCAGTGAAACAGCTGAGCTCAGAAGTGTCAGTCGTGAAAAAAACCCCAACACCTTCAGTTTTATTAATTAGGATCCTGTCCAATGAAGCCTATGAGATTAAACACACAAAAAAAGAGAAAAAACTCGATTGCAAAATTGTACAGTATTGGAAGGCAGGAGGATTTCACCTGGACGTTGTGATCGGTGCTCTTGGATTTATTTATTAACAGGGAAGTTTCAGCAGAGCAGGGATGGAGTGTGAGGAAAACGCCACGAGAGGGAGATGTTGGAAGCAGGAAAGCTCTCGGGATTCTCAGCCTTACACAGCAAGTTAATTTTAAAGGCACTCCACAAAAGTTTGTTGAACTTTCTGGGAGCTTACAGCGTCTTTAAAAGCAAGTTTATTCTGGGAGGGATTTGTCTGGAATGCTAGAAATTGCTCTTTAGGGAGAAAAAAAAAAAAAAAAAAAGCAAACCAAAACAAGCAAAACACACTGCAACCAAAAATCTGCGAGAATCCTATTTAAAAAGTTTTCTTCATTAAAAATGAAATCTTCACCAAACACCACAATGCCTGCCGATTTCAGGTGGGATGTTGTAATTTCCGCTTTTTTATATTTATTTCAAGTGGTGAAATGCATTACAAAGTATAGCAGTGATGACACTTGACTGCTCAATATGAGCAGAGTGTACAAAGAGAACAGAGAGACATCACTCTTCTCCAATTATCTTGTTTGGGGTATGTAGCTCTCACTACTGTTAAGACATCTCCCTGGAAAAAAAATTTGGATATTTCTCAGAGTTCAGCAGTAATTAAATGCACATCTGAACTCCTAGCCAGTCTTGAAAAATGAATGCAGCAGTAAATGGCTCAAGTCATGTCAAATATACAGGGCTAAATGTGGATATTAATTATCTAACCAGAGGGACTCGATTTACTTTGTAAAGCAATTAAAAGAAGACAGAAATTTACAGTCTGTTTCTGAAAAAGAGTAATGCCTGTTTAAAAATAACTTTCTACCCAGAATAGTCTGCCTGTCACACATCACATCAATTGAGGGGGGGGAAAAAATCCAAACTAACACAACAGAAGATTTTACAACACTTCTTCTTTATGGAAATGGCAAACCCAAGTTTTAAAACAAAATAAATTGACAGCTGGGTGCCCAGGTGCACTTTTAGGCATGTAAACAAAGCTTTTGGTTTTCAAACTGCCTCAAGAGCACATCAGGACTTTGTTTCCCCTTGTTTTCATTTTTCATTCCCCAGGGGCATGGTAAGGATATGGAGAGGCCTGTGTTCCTGTGCACAGGAGGTAGAGGTTTCATGTTTTTCAACATATAATTTAATATTGCTTGAGATCATTCCAGTAGTCTCTCTCTCTCTTTTTTTTTTTTTTTTTTTTTTTTTTTTTGTTTTTTTTGTTTTTTTTGTTTTCTTTTTGTTTCTAAATCATCCAGCTTTTTCAGGTGAGCACATGGCCCAGATGACAGCTACTCTCTGTCCCAAAACTTCTTCCATACAGACAAAAAGACTATGGGCTGTACTGCAGGTCCCATCCATCTGAAAGCCCACATTCCCAGGAATATGAACAAAACTAATTGGCCTCTCTGTAGCTGTTTTGACTAATTTTTAAAGGATAAAGCTTTTTTTTTTTTTTTTTTTCTTTTTTTAAAGGCACATGAGGGCTTCTTCACTGTGCCCAGCAAACACAGCCAGAGGTTTTCTTTAGTGCAAGTGGCTGATTCCCAGATTTACCTCCTCCAGTGTGAATTCCAGACCTGCACGGTGCTTCCCTTTCACAGGAGTCAAAACAA